CATTCAATAGGAAAAGGTTGGTTCTTTCTACAACTGATGCTATGGATACTGAATATCCACATGCAAGAGAATGAAGTTAAAGTCTTACTTAACATATAAAAATTAACTAAAACATGAATCAAAGACCTAAATGTAAAGACTAAAACTATAAAACTTCCACAATAAAAGAAAAACTTCATGCACTGAATTTGGCAATGAATTCTTAGACATGACCCAAAAGCATAGTCAAAAAAGAAAAAGGAAACTAAACTTCATTAAAATTAAAACCTTTGCATGTTAAAGGATTCTATCTACAGCAGTGAAAAGGCAGTCCACAAAATGGGTGAGCGTATTTGCACATCATATATTTGATAAGTGACTAATATTCCAAGTAGAAATTCAACTAAATAAAACAATTTAAAATGGGTGACAGACTTGAAAAAAATTGTCTCCAGAGATTTCTCCAAGTATATACCAATGACCAAGAAGCACTTGAAAAGATTCTCATATCACTAATTATTATGAAAATCAAAATCATGATGAGATACCATTTTATACCCATGAGGATAGCTAATGTTAAATATGTAATACTAATGTAATATGTAATATGTAATGTGAATATATTATATATATTACACAATGTATTAGTTGATACTTATATAGTATATCTATTTATATAGTACATCTGCAGATATAACTTGGTGGTATATAGACCTTGTCTGCATGTGCAAGGTACTGTATTCCATCCCCAGTATGAGTGGGTAGGAGAGAGGGCAGAAAACAACTACTGACAAAGAAATGGGGAAATTAAGCCTTGCTCATTGTTAATGGGAATGTAAAATGGTACCACTATTGTGGAAAACAATATTGCAGCTTCTCAAAAAAATTAAAGAATTGCCATATAATGTAGTTTTATATCAAGGTTAATAACCAAAAGAACACTGAAGAAAAAAAAAAAAGAACACTGGAGATATGTATCTACAAGCTGCAGTCACAACTGACAAAAAAAGAAACAACTTAAATATCCATATATGTGGTATAATCATATTATTTGCCCTTAAAAATGCATGCTATAACATAGATTACTCTTGAAGACATTATACTATAAATCAGACATAAAAGAACAAATGTTAAGATTCTATTTATAGGAAGAACCCAGAGAGTAGTAATATTTAGAGGTAGAAATAGTTGTTACCAGGGTAGTAGGGTGGGTAGTCAGTTATTGTTTATTGGGCAGAATTTCAGTGGAGATACCAGTTTCTCAAAGTATGAGTATACTTAATGTCACTGAAAAAAAATTACCCCCTAATAATGGTTAAAAATGATTAATTTTATGTTATATATATTTTCTTTTTTAAAGTAAGTTGTTTACTAAGGTGGCAGCATAGGAGGGTGGTTAAGAAAATAAGCTTGGGCTAGGAAGGTGGCTCAGTGGTAGCGCGCTTGCCTTGCATGCACGAGGCCCTGGGTTCGATTCCTCAGCACCACATAAGTAAAAAGAAAAAGCCGGGGCTGGGAAGGTGGCTCAGTGGTAGAGCGCTTGCCTTGCAGGCCTGAGGCCCTGGGTTCGATTCCCCAGCACCACATAAGCAAAAAGAAAAAAAGCCGGAAGTGGCGCTGTGGCTCAAGTGGTAGAGCACTAGCCTTGAGCTGAAGAGCTGAGGGACAGCGCCCAGGCCCAGAGTTCAGGCCCCATGACCGGACCCAAAAAAAAAAAAAAGAAAAAGAAAAAGCCGGAAGTAGTGCTGTGGCTCAAGCGGTAGAGTGCTAGCCTTGAGCTGAAGAGCTGAAGGACAGCGCCCAGGCCCAGAGTTCAGGCCCCACGACTAGACCAAAAAAAAAAAAGAAAGAAAGCTTAAGGGCTAGAAGTTTAAGTTGTACCTAGTATGCAGGAGGTTACTAGGCTCAATCCCAAGTATTGCAAGGAAAAACAAAAACAAAATCTCACACACATACACACACACAAGCTTAAGAATTGAACTTCCTTGAGGAGTGCAAGTGGCCCACACCTATAATACTAGCTACTCAGGAGGCTGAGATCTGAGGGTCAAGATTTGAATGCTAACTGGGCAAAGAAATATGAGACTCTTATCTCCGATTAACCAGCCAAGTCAGAAGTGGAAGTGTGGCTCAAATGGAAGAGCCCCAACTTTGAGTGGAAAAGCCATTTGAGAACATAAGGTTCTAAATTCAAGCTCCAATACCCACATCAAAGAAGAAGAAAGGATTAGGCTTCCTGGTTTTAAAACACTTCAGCTCTATATGCAGTCTGGGGACAAACTCTATATGCACTCTGCCTGTGTGTGTGTGTGTGTGTGTGTGTGTGTGTGTGTGTGTGTGTGTGGTTTTGGAAACAAGGATTCAATGGGTAGCCCAAGTATGCACTCTGCCTGCATATATGTGTGTGTGTGTGTGTGTGTGTGTGTGTGTGTGTGTGTGTGTGTGTGTGTGTGTGTGTGTGTGTGTGTGTGTGTGTGTGTGTGTGTGTGTGTGTGTGTGTGTGTGTGTGTGTGTGTGGTTTTGGAAACAAGGATTCAATGGGTAGCCCAAGTATGCACTCTGCCTGCGTGTGTGTGTGTGTGTGTGTGTGTGTGTGTGTGTGTGTGTGTGGTTTTGGAAACAAGGATTCAATGGGTAGCCCAAGCTGGGCCCTCTAGCTTCAGTCTCTTGTGTCTTGGGACTTCTGGTATGCACCATTATGCCAGGCTTAAAAACGTTTAAAATTAGGTTTCCTGTGGTGCTAGGTACAGAATCCAGGCCTTTGGAAATGTTAGACAAGAACTCTATTACTGAGCTATGACCCCTTTCACAAACCTCAGGACATACTTCTGTAGAACTTCTGAAGTTATGCCTCAAAATTTTTACTTTCTCCTTTTTGGAGATGTGTTCTCAATAAGCCCAGACTGGCCTCAAATTCAGGATTCTTCTACCTCATCCTCCAAGTCCTGAGATTACAGGGCAATTATCCTCAAGGACAAAATTATCCTCAGAAAACAAAGAATTAGGAATTATGAAAACATACTCAAAAAGGTGCCACTTTCAGTTCAGTTATCTTATTAAATTCTTACCAAAACTTGGGTCTCAAGATGTTGCTACTGCCTCTACCAAACAGAGCTAACACTGATCACAAGGAAACATCTACAAATGCTTCTTTATGAAAATCAAACACAAGAGAGCAGCAGCCCAAGCACTACAAAATATCTACTGCAAAATATCATATAGTAAGGTCTGCAGGCATTTGGTACTTACTTGAACAGGGCTGTATCTGATTTATGGGAAATTCATGACACAACGTAAAGCAAAATAACAATTTCAAGGTCAAACTCTTGAAAAAAGAGTTTTAAAAAAGCTTTTGGGTGTCTTTTTATTTTGTCCTCTCCCAATTGTCTTTCTTCTGAATTCAGCTCACCAGGACTGAACTGCCTCCAGTGGAACGTCCTCCTCTCCTCACCTCCATCTGTTGAAATCCTACCCATCCTTAAAGCTTCCATTCAGATGCCAAGATTCCATGACTTTCCCTAGCTTCCACTGACCCAAGTCTAGCATTAATCTCTTCTTCGCTGCCTTTATTCTCCACCTCTGCCTCCACACCGCAGAATGGACTGTATTACAATGACTCGTTTCTCACCTGCCCTCTCCCAAAAATTTCCCCGAGAGAGGAGGGAAAAGGGAGGAAGGAAACGAACACTTGTTAGACCTACCATGCCAGGCAAAGTGCTACCAAGTTTGTTACACTGACTCTCATTTAACCTGCTTGACACACATCTGGAGAGGTAAACAGGTGGCGTTATTTCTGTTTACTGACAGGAACTACTGTGCAGAGTTCAACAGCTTGTCCACTCCCAGGTTGCTAGCCAGCCAATTCTACTGCCTCTGGAACGTTCTGTTTCCCCAGCTCCAAAGTGCTCTTTCCAAACACCCCGTGTTGCAGGGTCTGGTTCACTCCGTGTCTCCTGACAGGGTAGATAACCCCCAACTATGTGCTGGATTTAGTCTCTACCCTTTAACAATCCGATCACACCCGACCCCTACCGTTTACCGCACTCACTACCTTTGGTGGTCCTTTCACCTACTTCCTTAAGGCCGTTCTCCACGTGAGACAGGCTGCAGACAACATCCAACCCCTGACTGGGCGGAGGAGTGAAGAGCCTTTCCGTCTCCCTCCCCCCCCACCCCGGCTTCTCCCAACGGCTTTCATACAAAATGTTCGGGCGTGCGGCGCACCCGACCGTTCTCCAAGGCTCTCATTTCACACTGAGTCACGTCTCGGCGCTCACAAAGCTCCCGGGCTCGAGCCGTCCGCCGCCGGCAGCGCGAGGCCGCCCCTGGCTGTCCGAGGCGGGCACCCTTCCTGGAAGGGCGGCAGCCGCACCGCCGCGGGGACACCGCCGCACCACCGCGGGGACACCGCCGCCTCCCTGGCCGCCCCCCCCGCCCCCCCATTGCATGGCAGTTTGGATTTCCGGCGGGAATGCGCACGGAGAGCAGACACGGGGCTAGAACGCTCCCGAGCAATTACTTCGCAGGCTTAATTAGAGGACACAGAAGGCGCCCCGCCTTTCTCAATCTCGGCACTGAACTCGTCTCCGAAGCGTGTTGGGGGCAGGGGGCGCCGAGCCCCAGCACTCCCGCATCCCGTCGCCGGTTCCTGCGGCGAGTGGGGGGGGGCGGTCCCTCCCCCCCACCCCGCCCGCAATCCCGGGCGACCGGCACCGCGCCGGGGAAGGAGAAGCCCGGCCGCACCCTCCCAGGCGGCCGCACACCTCATTGTCTCCCCGGGTGCAGCCCCCGGGGCCGCGGGGCGCAGTTTGAACGCCGCCGAGCCCCACCCACCCACCGGCCACCGCTCGCGCCGCGGGTCCAGCGGGCTGGAGCCGGCCGGCGACCCCGCCCAGGTGGCGGCCGCTCCGACCGCCCGGGGAACGGGGCCGGGAGCCGGGAAAATGGAGGTGGGAGCGCTTCCCGGCTCCGCGCCCGGCTGCCTGCCTCCCCGCACCCCAGTGGCGAGGCAGAGCACTCACCGCGGCCGCCGCTCGGTCTTCCAGCGGCCCCGGCTGGCGTGGCGGCCCCGGGTCCGGCGGCGCCTGGGCTCGCGCTTCTGCAGCCGCCGCCGCCTCCTTTCCAGGCGCGGCGCTCCTTCCCGGGAGACGCCGCGAGCGCCGGCAGCTCCCGCGCCGCGCGCTCCGTGACGGACTGACTGACGGACAGACGGTCGGACAGGCCGAACGGGCGGCGGCGGCGGCGGCGGCGGTGGCAGGGGCGGGGCCGCCGCAGCGCCCCGCGGCGGTGGATCTGAGAGCCACCGCGTCCGGCCCCGGCGCAGGAGGCGGGGCTGAGGGCCGGGCGGCCCGAGGGCGGGCGGGCCGACTCGCGGCCGGCTGCGCGCTCCCCGCCCGCCGCCCGCGGCCCGCGCTCACTTCCGGCGCAGACGGGCGCGCGCGCGCCTCTCGCCCCCGCTCCGCGCGCCCCCGCCCTGCGCGCCCCCTCCCCGCGCGCCCCGGCCTCGCCGACCCCCCCCAACCCCCCGCGAGCGCCGGACCGCACCCAGCCCGCGCCGTCCTCCGGGCCCCGCCTTTCCTCCGCGCGCGTCCCAGTGAACCGCCTCCAGGAACGAATGAATCAGAGAATGAATGAGTGGGGAGGAAAATCCCGGTGCCGCCCCACCTCCGCGGTGGCGGTTCCTGGGCAGCGGGCCCGGCGGCTGCGGGCTGAGGGCTGGGGAGACCGGGCGGTGCGGAGCCGACCTGTGGACGGGGCTGGACCGTCCAGCCTCTGCCTGGGTGCCAGCCCTGCGTGCGCGCCCTCGACACGCCCCTGCTCCTTGAAATCACGGCGCCCTTCCTTAGGAAATCCCATTCTGGCCCCCAGCCCTCGGCGGGTTCACGCCAGGTATTGGGAAGCTTTTGGAAATTAGACATGTCACTTACCTTCCATTACTTTTTAACCCTGAAATCGGTTTATTCTGCGTTCTTCCTGGCTGTCCTCTCCTGTGTGATCGTTGAGGAGCCGAGGGTGGGTCTGTACTGATCACCGAGCTCCGAACGACTCAACATTCATTTTGGTGCTGGTTTGGTTCAGTTTATAGTGTCCTTATTCTGACCTTCACCTAAAGTTGATAGAGATGGGGGGGGGCATGAATTTAAATTATTGTTGGGAGGCTAGAGACAAAGCATTTTTGTTGACAACGTTAAAACAATTGAGGAATTGGAAGTGTGACCTGAAATTGATTGCAATAAACCTTCAGCATTTTTTCCCCATGCCGTCTCATCTGCCGGTTAATAGTTTCTGTATCTTAAATGCTCATAGATCGACTGCACATTTCTGAGATCCTGCCTCCCTTTCTAAGAATGGGAATGCGCATTTCTCTGTCTTGGGAAAATTCTCTGTCCTGGGGCCAAATCCTGGTTTGGTTTAATTGCACCCTTACTTCCTAATATTCCTGAGGACTTTCAAGTGGTTTTGAAATTCAGTTTTTCACAATCTGTTCCAAACTAGTACACAATCTGTTTCAAACTGGTGTTTAGAATTTTAGAGCCATACAATACATGGCAGGCTGTGTTCACACTTGAGATGGCTGTTCTTTGGACGCACAACGGCATTTTTGTATTTTAAGGTTAGTGGTGCTTCAATAATATATCTAATAAAGAAAAATGGTAATGGTGATTGGTTGCCATAGGCTTTCTACCTTTCCTTTACTTCTAATTATAATTATTTCAGTAAGTTATGCTTTCCCCTAAATGAATGTATTACAAAAACCTATTCAGTCTTCTGTCTCTAAGCTGTCCAGTATAGTATAGTACTACTTTGCACAAAAAGTTTATAAATAAATACTTTAAAATTTCTTAACTGATAAATAAGTTCATACAAATGTATCTATAACCACTTCATTTCCTTTGTGACTACTAGGATTAAACACACCTAGATGCCAAACAATATATAACCTCTTGTTACCAAATATTATTATGGGACTGTATTATACCTTGCAAGAAAGATGCTCTTAAAAAGACAACGGAGTGCTTTTAAGATTGCTCTTTGCCATCTCTCTCTTCTTCAAGTGCTAATCTGAGAAAACACTTTTTGCCATTGAGAAAAGCTCTCATCAGTTCTGTTAAACCACGAAACTACTCATTCAGAAAGAGTTTATTGAGCTCCAAATAAGGTCTAAGAATGAAAACAAAGGCAAAAGACATGATGCTTCCTGCCCTCAAAAAACACAGTCTGCCAAATAAAGGAGGTGAGAAAGCCACACTTAGAAAACAAAGGCTATCCCCAGATCTGGAAAGCTTACCCAGTGGGAAGTTAAACTGTGTTTAATGACAAGGAGGAGCTAACCAGACAAAGAAGGAGTGGGCAGTCATTTTGGACAATGGCAACAATATCTGTGCTAGTGTGGAAGTTAACAACAGTATCATGCCTAAGAAACTAAGTAATTCTATTTTGTCTGGTCAGAAAATACAAGGAGCCAGATTATGTGGGAGAAGGACTTTATCAATAAAGGGTCTATGTTCTATACTAAGGAGTTTGAATTTAACAATCTGGGAAAAACAATAGATTGAAGTGGTTCAGCCTCTGGAACAACTGAGTTGGTATTTGGAGACCATGGAGAACAGAATGAAGGAGACAATTAGGGAGTGAAGACATCCCAATGTGCTATAAGTGTAGAGGCAAAGGTAGTGGCATGGGGAAAGGAACTAGATGGGAGACATATTAAGAAGGTAGAAACTACAGAATTTCACATGAGATTGACTCTGAGAGAGTACATGAGGTAGAAGCCTCTAGGATAAAACTCAGAATTCTGGTTTGGGAGACTGAAAGAGGAGTAGAATTCAACGAACTATATATCTATATAAGAAATAACGCCACCAATCCAGGCATCTCAGAGGAGCCTTAGGAGTTCATCCTTTTCCGGAGTGTTCTTTTAGAACTCAGGTTGCACAGAACTTTGGAGTGATTCCAAAAGTAGTAAAAGCTCCTCTGATCAAATTATTGAAAGGGAAAAAGAGCTAGCTTAAAGTTGAATGAGTGTCTCAAATAGAGAAGTTTCCAGTGGATTTAATAATGTACATTGTGAAGTTCTGAGATATTATATAAAACTCTTCCCAAATGTATTCAACTATGAAATATTTTTTCCAGTGAAACAGCTCATAAGACATGTGTTCCACAGAACACACTGAGGGAAATACTAACCTTGCCCAGATTTTTAGTTTACAGTAGAGAAAACTGTAGCCCCAAGTCATGAAGTGATTTGGCTCAAGATAAATATTACTGGCAGGTAATTGGACTAGAATCCATACCTTTTGAACCGTCACATTATCTTTCTACTACACATGGCTTAATGAGCTACAAACTCATTCCAGCATGTTCTACCAATCATGAGGAGGAAACATTATAAAAGAATTATGGAATATTTCCCTTTAAATGAGGTTTCAAATCAGTACTTTTAAGGCTATGCTGCTTTTTAATGATCACTACTTTGCATAAGATGACATAAGTTGTACATTGGAAAAGTGGGACTAATTATTACCTAAGTATGATCTTTCTGATATTGAACAGGAGACTTGTAAAATTAATCATCAAGCTAAACAAGACATTCATCTAGTCATCCCTACCCTCAGGTAGTGGATAGAAGCATTAAAACTTTCCTTGGAAATTTGAGTGTTGGTTTGGCCCCTTTATATTAAAAAAAAAAAAAAATCTCGGGTACTATGAGAATCCGTACCAGATTTTGCCTTCTCTGGAGCTAAGCCTCTGATTCTAAATACTAGTAGGAAATGGATGGGAGGGTTTTCTTATTCTAATGTCTTAGTCTTAATCCTCTGAGGAGAAGTTTTAATACTTCCTGTTCTTAGAAAAATGAGACAAATCGTTTGTTCCCAAGAGACACCTTAGGACTTCTGGACAACTATTAAGAGTAACTTCTCTATATATTACATTTGAAATTAGTTATCAGCATCTTAATCTGTGTTTCAATAATTCATAAAAGTATTTGCTTGATTTCTAAATGCTGTTTTTGTTTTTAGTAGGCAAAGCAAGGACCATCTTATATGGGGTGAATATGTTGAGTGAATGATTTAATTACTTTAAATATTTGTAGTCATAAATAGTGGAAAAAAAGCACTATTAATCCGCTTATCAAAAATAGTTTACTGTTTACTATGTTCTCAGCTCTGTCTATAACCACTACAGAAATGCAGGAAATATGCCCCAGTCTTTAAAAAATGAAACCACCTGTTATTGGAAAGAAAGAGACTCTCATAATCTGCAGGTGGGACTAAATCATTTCAACCTTTTCCTGGAGAACTTGGAAATAAATGTTAACAAGAGAAAGAAGAAAATATGGCCTACAATATTGTGAGGTAGTGACGAATAACTATCAATCCCCTAAATGTCCAACCATAGGAGATTATTTTTAAAAATGTGATGTGGTGGCACATGTCTATCTATAATCCAAACTACTCAGGTGACAGATGCTAGGAGGATCACAGTTCAAAGCCAGCCGGGGCACAAGTAAGACCTTCTCTGAAAAATAAAGCAAAAATGAATTAAATCATATGTATAAAAATAAAAATTTAAACACACAGAGCACATAATTCTTAGAATATAGTAAATTGTAATTTAAAAGAGGATTTTTTTCAAGAAATTTGATCTATGATATAAGAACTTATAAAACAAATAGAAAAATAACTCAATATTAATTCCTGATAGAGACTAAGTGCAACAGGTCTTAGAAGAGAAAAATGACCTGTGGTGTGAGGAATTTCAGAAAACTTCATGGAAGAAGTAAAACTTGGTACTTAGGATGTAAATGCAAAGGGGAATTAACAGAGTTTGAGGCAAGGTGAGGCATGGGCCTCACAGCCTAACATTAACAACTGCAGAATACTTGACCTTTGCCTTTTAATATATCTCTGCTTCTTTCATACAAGTGGGATCTGTGTACCCATTGTAACATGAGTCTTGCATATCCTTTGTAGTATTAAAGAAGCTTCTTTAGTTTCTTTTAGGAGTAGCCATTTTGGACAGGGCAAAATCTGTAGAACTGGACATTTCGAGCTATTTACTTGGAACAAATATGAACTGTTACACAAGAGCAGTTTTCACAACAACCTGAACCCTGTGACTATTCTGATGTTTATACCAGTCAGACCATGAATTAATTCAACCTGAGAATTCAGCAATTCTCTGATTATATGCATGTAACAAAGTACTATTTTAAAGCCA